CTCAGAGCCAGATGCGCTCAGCCTAACCCACCCGGGGTCCCCCTCGGACCCTCCGGGGGCGGGGTCCTCACTCCGGGCCAGCACCCCTGCCCCTGTGTCTGCGGAGTGGGCGCCCCCGGCCTGTGCTTCCCCCACCTGCCGGTCGTCCGGTCTCGGCTTTCAGGGTGCGGATACTCCCAGGGGTCCGACCCCAGCCGGCGGCAGAGACCGCGGGCCAAGGGGGGCCCTGGAGACGCCCCAAGGGCAGCCCCGCTGCGGCTCTGCTCCGCTCCCCTCGCCCGGGGCCTCCGCAAACGAACCCACCGCGCGCCGCCGAGCGCGGGTCCAGGATCCTCGGGCCGCCTCCAACCTAGAGGAGAACGCAGATAATTAAACTGAGCTATTTACATTTTTAAAGGTGAAAGGAACCTGCCTTCTGGGAGGGCAGGGACGGCGCTCAGGTGGTTTAACTCGGCGCCGGGATCCCGCTCAGCCGCGGGGGGCCTCGAACCCCGCCTCGGGGCCGGCGATTGGGCCCCTCCGGAGCGCGGCGCCCAACGCGGGTTTCGTTGCGTCGGGGAAGTCCGTGGCCTGCAGCGCCCACGCGCCGCGCGCTCAGCCGAGCCCGGGATAAGGGCGTTCTCCGGCCCCCCAAGCCCTGATCAGGCCGTTCCACTTCCGCGCACCCTCCAGGGGCCTGCAGCCCGCGCCCCTCCCCGCCAAGCCTTTTTCCCAAACTGCAAACCGCAGCGCGAACTGGTTTTCTCCTGGGTACGCGCTGGGAGGAGACGGTTCTAACCGAGCCCAGCGAGGCGGGACCAGGCCTGCGGGAGGGGGCGCGTTCCTGTCCCCAGACCCCTCCCGCTGCGCCTCGGCCCCAGCCCGGCTCCCTGGTCCGCACCGGTCGGGCCGGGCGCAGAGGAGGCAAAGCAGGCGGAGGCGGCGAGGGGAGAGCGGCCAGACCTCCCGCCGGAGCCCGGACCCTTCCCCTCCCCTCGGGTTACTTTCTAGATGGGGAAACTGAGGCGCAGCCAGGGCGGTGCGGCGGAAGCCCCGCGCCTGCCTGCCGGAGCCCGGAGTGAAGGGCCCGGAATTCCTTCTTCTAATCGCGTCCCAGAACTCCCGGAGGACGGAGGCCGAGCTGCGGAGGGAAGGGACGAGGACGCGGGGCCCCGGGGACCACCCCCTCCGCTCCCCCGCGGGCCGCGGCCGCCCAGCCCCGGTGCCCCGGCGCAAACAGGCGCAGTGTTTGCCCAGCGCGCGGCGGGCGGCGCGGCCCGAGAGCGATGAGGATTCGATGGAGCCGCTCGCCGCGGCGGGGGCAACAGAGCCCGAGCGGGCGCGGGGATCGATCGCGCACAGCTGTCGCCGAAGAGCCCGCGGGAGCATCCACCCTCGGGCCAGATCTGCCCGGGCGCCCCGCAACTGCGGGCAGGAAATCTGGGACGCTGGGCCCGCCAGGGGCGAAACCCCAAAGTCACCGCACCCCGGTGGGGCGCTCAGGACGTCCCCATGGCCAACGTGGAACCTTGGGCGCCCCGCGCCCTGCCCCGCCGGAAGCCCCGCCAGGCCGAAAAAGCTCAGAGTCTCCCCCCAAATCTAAATAAAGTCCCCGGACCCCGCCGGAACGAAGGCGGCTGGAGTCCGGTGGGAGAAATCCCGGCAGACACTAGGCGCCGGCGGCCGGGATTTGGGGCGACCGCAGGTTTCGGGCCGGGAGTGGGCGCAGGGCGGATCTAGGGCTGGGGCTGGGCCTGGGTGCGGGGGCGTCCATGGCCATCACGTAGTAACAACCTCGCTTTAATAAAAGCAGCGACAGGAGTGCAGCGCCCGCTGACTCTCATTTCGGTGGGAGACAAATCGAATCAGAAAGACGGTTCTGGGGGAGCCCCAGGAAGGGACACTGGAGGGACCTAACTCTGTCTTTGATGTTTTTAGCTGCAATGAGAGAGTAACTACAGGGAGGGTGGCGCGTCCAAAAATGGGAAAGGGTGGAGGATTAAGGGGGGTTCCAGCTCAGGGGGTCGGTTTACGGAGGTTGAAGGGGTGAAGGCTGCACACCCCTGGGCCTGGGGAGTGGGTAGCGCCCCCGCAATTCCCCCCTCAGGACTCTCCAAGCCCTGAGGTTAGTGGGGTCAGAGGCTGCCCTTCTTGACCCCTCCCGGACCCAGGCCAGGCACAGAGAGGGTGGTCTTTGGTCTGGGGCAGCCCAGCACCTGCTGAGGTCCTCTCCCCCACTCCCAGGCGCGGACTCGGGCTCTGGGAGCCAAATTCCAATTTTCCTGGAGGGGATACTGAAAGCAGAGAGCTTCCTCAAGGTGGCTGAAGTCCCTGTGGGGCGGGAAAGGGGTACTCCTTGTCCCCATACAGCCCACCCCTCCCCTCGCCCACAATTTGCCTAATGACCCCGGATCGATTCGGGCCTGGGCAGCCGGCCTGCCCCGTGGTCGGCTCAATTCTATTTTACTAATTACTAAAAGGCCGCTGGCTGGTGGGGAGAAGCAGGCTGGGGGCTCCAGGGAGCCACACTCCCTCTCTTGGGGCCAGCAAATTTCTGTTCAGTCTCCCAGTGGGCGCACAGCCTCCGCAAGGAGTGAGATCCCGGACCCTGGGGAAGTCCAAGTCCCCATCAGCCTAAGGGGGGGATGAGGGGCTTCGCAGACCTGGATAGGGTTGGGTCCACCAGACTGGGCTGCCACTTCCAAGTCTAGGAAGCTTTGGAAGGGGTCTGTGGCCACCTTAGGGTGTCCTGAGGAAGCAGAGGGGAGAGACGCCCTTCCTCTCGGAGCCCCTGACCCTCCTCTCCTCTTTCTCTTTCCAGCGGGATGCTTTCCCTGCTAGAAACGCCACACACGCTTGTTATTAAAATGAACACGATAATCAAGCTGTAGAAAATACATGTAAAAGCAAGCCTGCATAATCCCAGTTCCCACGGAGCTCCCCCACGTCGGCATTTGGGGGAGCTTCCTTCCGCCTTGGTATCCTCCCACCCGTAGAGACCCCCAGCCCCCACCTGGCGTGCGCTTCCCTGAGCCTGGGATGCTAGCGTTTTATGGCGGCTGATTGATTTTTAGATCTCACGATTATTTTTAATTATCTGTGATTGTTGGAGGGTGAGGTTGAGGGTTCAGCGCAGCCTCTTCCCCCCGCCCCCCAGACTCAGCATCTTCATGGGGAGGGGGGGACGCAGCTGCTCAGACCTGCTCCTCTCTTCCCACCTGGAAGATGGGTGCAATTATGTAAGCAGTCCAGAAATTATACAGGAATCCTGCAACTGGCAAGTTGAGGGAGGCGGGAGTTAGCACTTAGGCAGAGGTAGAAATGAAAGGGGGGCTCTAAGGTCAGCACCCCCACCTTGGGACATAGGCACCCAGGAAAATGGCGACTTGACTCCCTCCTCTCTGGGGCTGAGTGAGGAGAGAGAGTATATGTGGTAAACAGCAGACACTAAATGCTGAACCCTATGCAGCGAGTAGTAACGGGGCTTCAACCCTCCCCTCCCCAGGAGTGGGATCAGGCCACTTCAGGCTGCGGGCCCAGATCAGGCCCCCTCCCTCTCTGCTATTCTGGTCAGAACAGACCCGCCTCCAGCCACAGCTGGGCAGGCTGGAGGGCACCCCTCCCACATCAGAGAGGGGAAACTGAGGCATAGGAAGGTTCCCCGTTACAAAGCCAATCCTACCTAGTCTTACTTCAGCAAATCGAATCTCCGGTGTGTAGCCACGTCTCCAGGGGCCAGGGAATCTGGATGCAGGTGCAGAGCTGGGGATGGGTGGGGCCCCCATGAAGATTTCCATGGAAGGGGAGTGACTCTCTCCTGTGCTCTTCCCTCAGCAGAGACAGGGTAACTGGAGGCTCCCACAAACCGGACGCAGCACCAACCTGACCCTCCCCTTTCCTTTTCTAGAAGGTGCTCGAGGGTTACCTGCGGGCAGACGCAATGGGGAAGCAGGAAGGCACTGAGGCTGGTTTTTGGACTCTGCATCCCAGACTCTGGCCCCCAAGACAAGGCCCCCTCTAGGTTCTGGTCTAGACCCTCCCTACCCCCAGCCCTGACCTTACCCCACTCCAGCGATCTAGTCCCCTGGGGGTCTCTGTGACTACAGGAGCTCTACCGCCCTACCGCCCTCTATTCCAGTTCCCACGGGGCTCCTGGGCCTCACCTGTCTCCAGGTGCTGAGGAGAGCCCCGGCTTCCCCCACCCTGAGAAGTCCCAGGGCCAAAGAGTTTGCACCGGGGTCGTCTCAGAAGACGGGCAGGGAATCCAGCCTCAGTGGGCTGCAGGGTGACACAGGCTCTCAGTGGTCACCGCCAGGCTCCAGTGTCTCCAGCGGGCCCTGCCAAAGCGGCTTTGGCAGCCCTAAGACCGACAGCCCATTGTACAGTTGGGGACTTGGAGGCCCAGGTGACCACACCTGGGCAGATGCTGGCACCTGGGGCGCACAGAGGCCCTGATCTAGCCCGCGGACCTCCCTTTTCTCCCACTTCCCCCAGTAAGAGGTCGTGGGAAGGGGGCTGTGACTCCTTAGGTGTGAGCGAGGGAAGGGGTAGCTGAGCTACTCCTTAGGTGTGAGCAGGGACCCAGCTCCTGGGGGTCTGCAGGGAAGGGGGGACACGTGCATCCGAGGTGACCGTCCAGCCACACTTCGAGAAACTCCCTGGAGATGGACTTGGGGGCTCCAGGCAGGAAAGCCACATTCGGGACTCTAGAGAGAACCACACCGAGACGCGAAATCGCAGATGCAGGATCGAGGCCCCCAGCCCCACCTGGACAGAGTCTGTCCTCCGACCCCCGCCCGCTGTCCCCCGGGTGCGGCCCGCCCGGGGGGGAACGCTGAAGCCCCAAGTCTGCCGGACTCCGACCTGCCTGGTGCTCGAGGGGCCCGGGGCGGGCGGGGAGCTAGGCTGCGGGAGGCCGCGGCGGCGGGAGCAGGTGGGCGGGGGCGCTGACGTCAGACCCAGGCCCGGGCGCCGGCGGCCGCTCCCCTGCCACATCCTGGTGGCCGCGCTCGCAGCCGGGCCGGGCCGTGCGCCGCGCAGCCGGGCAGCCTCGCGCGCAGCCACCGAGGAGCGGGCGGGAGTCATGCGGCAGCCTTGAGCACGCGGGGCCGGCGCTGAGGAGCGCGCGCGGCGGGCGGGCGGCCGAGTATGGAGCTGAGCCTGGAGAGCCTGGGGGGCCTGCACGGCGTAGCCCACGCGCAGGCGGGCGAGCTACTGAGCCCGGGCCACGCGCGCTCGGCGGCGGCGCAGCACCGCGGCCTGGTGGCGCCCGGGCGCCCGTGCCTGGTGGCCGGTATGGCGAGCCTGCTGGACGGCGGCGGCGGCGGGGGCGCCGGGGGCGCGGGCAGCGCGGGCGGCGCGGGCGGCGGCGCGGACTTCCGCGGGGAGCTGGCGGGCCCGCTGCACCCGGCCATGGGCATGGCCTGCGAGGCGCCGGGCCTGGGCGGAACTACACGACGCTCACGCCTCTGCAGCACCTGCCGCCGCTCGCGGCCGTGGCCGACAAGTTCCACCAGCACGCGCGGCCGCGGCCCGTGGCCGGGGCGCACGGCGGCCACCCCCACGCGCACCCACACCCGGCGGCCGCGCCGCCCCCGCCGCCCCGCCACAGCGTATGGCGGCCAGCGTGAGCGGCAGCTTCACCCTCATGCGCGACGAGCGCGCGGCGCTCGCCTCCGTGGGCCACCTCTACGGACCCTACGGCAAGGAGCTGCCCGCCATGGGGTCGCCGCTGTCACCGCTGCCCAACGCGCTGCCGCCCGCGCTGCACGGCGCCCCGCAGCCCCCGCCGCCGCCGCCTCCCCGCCGCTGGCCGGCTACGGCGCGCCGGGCCACCTAGCCGGGGACAAGCTGCTGCCACCCGCCGCCTTCGAGCCGCACGCCGCGCTGCTGGGACGCGCGGAGGACGCACTGGCCCGCGGGCTGCCCGGAGGCGGTGGCGGCACTGGCGGAGGCGGAGCGGGCAGCGGGAGCGCCGCGGGGCTGCTGGCGCCGCTGGGCGGGCTGGCTGCAGCCGGGGCGCACGGGCCGCACGGGGGAGGCGGCGGCGGCCCCGGCGGGGGCGGCAGCGGCCCCAGCGCGGGCGCGGCGGCCGAGGAGATCAACACGAAGGAGGTGGCACAGCGCATCACGGCGGAGCTGAAGCGCTACAGCATCCCGCAGGCGATCTTCGCGCAGCGGATCCTGTGTCGCTCGCAGGGCACGCTCTCCGACCTGCTGCGCAACCCCAAGCCGTGGAGCAAGCTCAAATCCGGCCGCGAGACCTTCCGCAGGATGTGGAAGTGGCTGCAGGAGCCGGAGTTCCAGCGCATGTCGGCGCTGCGCTTGGCAGGTAGGAGCGTGGCGCGCTCTGCACATTCGCGGGGCGCCAGAGCCCGTCTCCCCAGCACCTAGCCGGCGGTGGCCCGGTGCCCAGGGCCCGCTCCCGAAGCTCCGCCCGTGCGCCCGGCCGCCCGGGACCCCCTAGCAGGGAGCTAGACCGCGATCCGCGCCCCTGCCCGTTTGCACCGTTGCCAAAAGGGAGAAAGGGATTGTGCCGCCTCCCCACCCCCCTGCCGCCGCTTCTGCCCTTTCGGAGCGGGTAGGGGTTCTCTAGTACTGTTTGGACTGCTGGGAGGCCCGGAGCCCTCCCCAGGCAGCCCTCAGGAAAGCTCATTGTGTGTGTGTGTGTGTGTGTGTGTGTGTGTGTGTGTGTGTGTGTGTCTGCGCGCGCGCCTCTTCAGGGGAGCTGTGTCCCCGAACGAGCTGCTGTTGTCAGCTAAGGTGCCACTCCCCTCCTCCAGCACTGGTGGAGAGGGGCTGCTGAGCCCCCAGCCCCAGGCCACAGAGCTCCGAGACGGTGCGGCGGGCGCCTGCAGCTCAGCAGCAGATACCGAGCCCGCGCTCATCGCCCCCCCCACCCGCCCCAGCGCGCGCTTCTTTGTAGTTCGGCCGGGCGATCGATACCCCCTCCCTCTCCCCTCCGGCCGCTGGCAAAGGTCACCCGAGAATGGCGGGGGAGGGGCGGCCCGAGGGACCCTCGGCTCGCGCGGCCCGGAGGCCTTCACACCCGGCCCCGGCGCCCGCCCCGCGCAGTTTGGCCCTGGCTCGGGTTGCGCGCGCCCCTGCCAGCCTGGCTTTTGGGTTCTTGTCTCTCCTGTCTACGGCTCCCCTCTCTGGGTCGGAACACACTGTCATCTGTATTTTTCTCTCGCTGTCCGTGTTTCTCTTGTTCCTGCTCCTTCTCTGCTCCCTTTCTGTCTCTGCCTCAGTCTCTGTCTCACACTCAGCCACCGGCCCCCTGGGGACCCTCCTCCCTCCTCCCTCCCAGCTGACAACAGCTAAGTCCACACCTGCCCTGTGACCAGCCCGCCCGGGCCCCGTTTCCTAGGCGGGGGTGGGGGTGCAGGAGAGCCCCTGGCCTAGGTGGGGGTCACTTTCGCTGGTGGTGCTGGGGAGGGGCTGCCCACCCGGGCCACAGGGACAATAGCCGCGGCGGCTGGCGCCTGATCGATCGCTTCTCTGAGCACAAGGGCCAGAAAGGCGGGGGCTCTGGGAGGCGCCCCACTAGCAAAGAGGTTGGGGGGGGGGTTGTGGCTGTGCCCCAAGGCAGCCCAGCCAGGCACGGGGGCGGGGAAGAGAGAACAGCGGGGGGCCCCTTCGCTGTTCGTCCCCAGCAGGCCATTTCCTCCCTCCACCCCAGGGGGACCAGACAACGCCCCCTAGCCTGGACCCACAGACTGGCCTCAGTTTCTCCCTTCTGCAGAGCAAGCAAGATGAGTAGCTGGAACCTCTTCTGGGATTCTTAGATTCCTCCACTTTGGAGCACTGGAAAATAAATTGTCTTCTGACTGTGGCAGGGCAACCTGGTGCCCAGGGAGGTCACGTGAACCTGGATGGTTTGAGTCTGTACTCTCCCCATGACACGTGCAGAGACACCCGTGTGCCCATCACAGACAGGTGGTCACATGCTCACCCAGCCACGGCCCTCAAGGTGAGGTGCAGCGTGGGGCCTCAGGTGGCAGAGGGCACACGCCTGGCTGCTACCTTCCTTTCGCTTTCTTTCTTTCTTTTTTCCTTCTTTCTTTCTTTCGGCCGAGTTTCACTCTTGTCACCCAGGCTGGAGTGTAGTGGTGCAATCTCGGCTCACTACAACCTCTGCCTCCCAGGTTCAAGTGATTCTCCCGCCTCAGCCTCCCAAGTAGCTGAGATTACAGGCACCGACCACCACAGCTGGCTAATTTTTTTTTTTTTTATTTTACTAGAGACGGGGGTTTCACCATGTTGGCCAGGCTGGTCTCGAACTCCTGACCTCAGGTGATCTGCCCTCCTCAGCCTCCCAAAGTTCTGGGCTTACACAGGCCTGAACCGCTGCACCCGGCCTAGCTGTGACTTTTAGACACCAAGTGGCTGCCATCACACCAGTAAGGCAGGGACGGTTTCCCCATCGCGACACCCACTGCCTCCTGCCTCCTCCCAGCACGTATCTGGGGGCACTGTGTCCACCGTGGGTGCACCCGGAGTCCGAGAACTCTCCATTTTTCGTGCGCGACACGACCCAATCTGCAACATCGCAGCTACTGGAATCGCAGATTTGGGGGCCACAGAAAACATCGGCCAGAGCGTCACAGAAGGACAAACCGCAGGCGACAAGTTCCATGGGGGGGGTGTCCCCGCAGCAGGGTCAGCAGCACCCGCCGGCACTGCGTGGAGACCTGGAGACCGCCTGTTTCCCCTGCACCCCGGTCCGTGTTCGCTCTTGCCCCATCCAGGCCGCCGCCTTCCCCTTCCCGCCGCGGGTGGAGTTGCAGGTGGGGAAACAGCCTGCGTTTGTGCCTCGGTTTCCTGACTTGTGACAATGACAGTCTCAGCTCTGGGTTCCCGGGCTTCCCGTCGAGGAAGGGAGAGTGACAACAGTCGCCGCCGTCTCAGGGGTGCGTGGGGGACCGGAGGGGTGGGCGCCGCGCCTGGCACCACCGAGTCACCGGCGGGGCGCTGGGGTGTTGAGGATGGTAAAGCCGGACCACCCTGCCCGCCGTGTCTCTGCCGGGTCCGCGGTCCCCGCCAAGCGCCGTCCCCGCCTCCCCGGCCGCGGGCTTCACGCCCTTAGCGCCCCGCACCTGTGGCGTCTCAGGTGCGCCGAGGGCCGCGTCTACACCGCCGGACTCCGACTGGGACGCACGAGGTGGCGCCGGCGAGGGCCGCGGGGTCATTAGGCTCCGGCCGAGGCCTTTAGTTCCGGTCGCTGCGCAAATGAAAAGCGGTTAAATGGCGGCAAATCGCGGCGGTTAGAGGGAGGCGGCCGGGCGCGTCCCCATCTCCACAGCGTCGCCCCGAACGCCCGGGCTCAGATGCGGAACTCGGCCCCCTCCGCCCCATTTCGGCCCCGCGGGGGACTCGCCGCCCTTCCTCCTCCTGCGTCGCCACCTCCCGCTCCGCGGGCACCGCGGGCCTCCCCGGGCAACTTTGCGCCCCGGGTCGCGCTTTGCGCACTCGCCTGGCCTGGGCCGGCCACGCGTTTCCGCAGCTGCCGAGCGTCCCGCCCGGCGCCGGGGCCTCGAGGGAGACGGGGACAGGGAGGGAGAGACCCGCAGGTACCGACGGAGAGGGAGGGAGAGAGGTGGAGACGGGGAGAGGGAGGCGGATGGAGTTGGAGGTGGGGGATAGGGAGGCAGAACCGGAGCCGAGACGCGACGGGAGGAGAGAAGCAGCCCGGAGAGGAACCGAGGTGCAGGCGGGACGGGGAGAGACAAAGAGAGAGAGAGGAAAGGAACTGGGCGCTGGGGGCCACCTGTGCCCACCCCCACATCCTCCTTCCCCATCATGGGGTAGGAACTGGGGAGAGAGGAATGGGTGGGTTCTTTGTGTCACCAAAGCACGCAAGGAATACCACGGCAGACCTCTGGAGTCCCGGCCCCACTGCCCCTGCTACCTGCCTCAGTTTACCCATCTGTAAAATGTGCGTGTGGGGGCACCGAATTCCGGGTCTGACACTCTCAGATTCTGGGCCCCTCTAGTTCGGGAGTCCTGCAGCCCCCAAGCCATTCCCACGGGCCGGGAGCCTCACCCCACCCCCACCCCAAGGTCCTCCGAGTCCCGCAGCTTCGGCGCTGCCGCCTGGTCGAAGCCCTCCCCCGGCGCCGTCTCCAACAGTAATTATGGGAGAGGGGCTGGGGGAGGGGCGGGCGGGCTCCTGGCGGGGGTGGGGGCGGTCGATGAATTCGAATTACCGTCTCTAATTCATCACCGTCGCCGGGTCGATAGCTTCGGCCGTCTTCAAATATTGTTTAAATTGCAACTCCGGAGGAAAAGTATTTTTTGTAACTGATCAGAAAAAATACGTATGTGGATTATACAAAGTTAGGTGGAGGCGGGTAAAGAAGGGCCTCATCTCCTCCCAGGGGCAGCATGGGGAGGCAGGAGCCCAGAATCCCTGAAGGATGGTGGAGCCCAGTGTGGGGGAAACCGAGGCAGGGAGCCCCCCCCCCCAACAGGTGGATGGGATGCTTTGCCCTTAAGCAGGACAAATTGTCCTAGGACGAAAACCAGCAGCCGTCACGGAGCTGCAGGCTGAGGGCGTCTGGTGCAGGGATTGGGCACTGTCTGGTGGTGGGTGAGTGGGGGGAATGCCAGGGACTGGGGCCTGCGGGGGTGGAGTTGGGACGGACATAGCGGCAGAACCTCGTCCCCACCCAGGCTCATACCCGCCCTCCCTCGCACACCTCTTCCCCTACCGGATGCCAGCATCGAGGGCTGAGGCTGAAATGGGGGAGGCAATCCAGGAGCCCCCTCAAAGGGACAGGTGTCCACCCACTGCAAGCACTCTGGACAGCCCCACCCAAACTCTGGATGAAAGGAGAGATGAGGGGGGCGAGGAGGAGGAGGAGGAGAGGGAAGGGAGGGAAGGAAGGGGAAGAGGGGAGGGAGGTAGAGATCCCTGCGCCCTTTGCAAGAAACTCACTTTGCTCTGCAAGGAGTCCCCACCTCTCACGGACACCTCAGAGAAAGTTGCCCAGACCCACTAGCCAGCGTGGGGGGCCTTGGAGACTTGGGTCTCCCCTGGGCTCTGTCCCTGGCTGATCCTGGGGAAAAGGGCTTGAACCTCAGTTTGCTTATCTGAGAAATGGACAGAATGAGATCACTCTGGAGAGGGTGTGTGAGGTGCCGGAGGGGCTCGGGGGTCTGCAGGGGACGCTGCAGGTTCCCACAGGGATGCACGGAATGGGGACAGACCTAGAGCCTGCCCAAGCTGGGAGGACAGACCCTTGTGGGACTGTCCTCGAGGCACAGGTGACTCCGCTGCCACCAAACCAGCACCCTCCCCCTAAACCTCAGGGCCTGGGACGGAGCAGC